TTTCCTTATGAAGAAAAGAGAATTATATTGCTATTTAATTATAATTATATTTCTTTTTTTAGTTGTTTAATGCAAATGGCTGTCCATCTTATAGCTAGATTTGTATGTTCATTCTTTAGCTTTCATCATATTTCTGATGAAATACTTTCTCTTTTTTGTCAAAATATAAGTGTTTATCCATACTTTTCCTTTCTTACATAGATATTCTTAATAGCAAACATTTAACACCCTGAACTAATTGAAAGGATGAAGTCATTTAATAAAGGAAACCAAGGGGGTGGGTGAACTCATTAGTCAAACTAATCATACTTGACTGTATTGTGATTGATTGGGACAACACAATGTATGTACCAATATTTTAATGATTTAAACTAGCTCAAATTGAATCAGGTTTGGAGACTCAGACAGAATTGATTCAGATTTCTGAGTCAGAAAAAAATTGGGAATTCTTTTGAATAAATTTGAACAAATCAATTTGGACACCCCTGATAGGAATGTTGGTAATTCAATGGATAGGTAACTGAATAGAGAAACAGACACACCAACCTGAGAGATACTGCATTTGGCCCATAGATTTCTCTTACTGCTGCCAAGTCAGCTTCCAGCTGTGGGTGTTTGTGAAGTTCTCCATCATAACTAACCTGCAGAGGAATGGGGAGTAAGAAAGATTTTCTTTGAAGGTATCACAAATTGAGTAGCAAAGGAAAGTTTTTCTTTTCCAATGTTTCACTTTCCTTTTCAGGGCCTTGTCCAAACATAAAATTGCCTTGTCTCAATAAGTATATCTGTAAAAACGGAAGACACCTAATTCTGCTGAATTTGCCCTTCCCATTGAGAACTCATTTTGCTATATGGTGTCTTAGAATTCTCTCCTAAGTCCTGCCCTGAGAAACCCCCACTGGATTCCTAGTAGATGAAGCCTACTATTTACTAATTATGTTTCCATCAGCACTCAGCAGGAAGAGTATAAAAACCATATCTTTACTATTGCTGCTCCTGGCAAAATTGTTATTCAGACTTACACAATCTGTCAACGTGGTCATTGTACTTAGTTCTCATAACAAAGAAGGACATCTAATCTCTGATTGACTATCTTCATGTAATAGGTGTAAACCAAGATAGCATTTAAGTACTCATTGTTAAAAAAATAATCCTACATGGAGATGTTATATAAATGTTTCAAAAATTATTGTATTTCTTCATTAAAAGGCCAGAACAGAAAAGATTAGTACCAGAAAGATAATATTTCATTCAGTACTGAGCATGAGTAACATTGATATAATTTGTTGTTCAGCTAAAGCACAGTATACCACATGGATTCCAGTTTCTTTTAATTTGTATTTATTGAATTACTACATCTATGTTACTAAATTTGTTTATACTTGTTGTGAAGAATCACTTCTTTATGCATTTCTTTATTTTATTCTTTCTTTTTTCTGCACTTTTTATTTTTTCTCTTTTTGTCTCTTAAGTTTAGTTTGTATTAAGTTTTACTATTATAATAAAAATTCTTAATAAAACTTATATTTAGAAAATGCTTAGTGTTAACAAATTGCATAATCTACAACTAACTGTCATACATCAACAATATCCCAGGCAGTCGTTCATACTTCTACTTTGTGTAATATTACTTATACCTAATAAATTTATTTCATAAATATGCTGTTAGGTAGTGCTAAATTACCATTCATGATTTCATTTTATAGTTGATGTTCAGGATGAATGATGCCAAGAAAACCTTGAATAAGATTTCTTTAAATACCACTCTATTGGCATCTGAGTAGGAGACTTATATGATATAAATAGTTCTGACTGAAGGCAAAGACTATCAAATGCTGAAATTGTTATCTAATGATAGAATTAAGCATTATCACTGTGCTGGTGCACTTTTTCCTTAGCTAGAGACCATTTCTTCCCATTTACTCTACAGCAATATTAAAAATGTGCATTGATTTTATTGGAGTCTGAATGTTTAGCTTTTAGATTCATTTGCAAATTCCTTTAGGCTTTGTTGAAGCACTAGGTATAATGAAAGATCTATACAGTTGAATGGTAATTGCAAAACTCCAGATTGCAATAGGGAGGGGGGGAACTAGCAAGTTATTTGAAGAATTAAACAGTTGTGAACACCTAACAGCTGTCAACAACTGTGCAGTATCCTATTTTACAAAGCAACTTGATTTACTGTCGGCCATGGAACTCAATAGAATGCATCTGTCCAAGTAAAAGATTTCTCTATAAGTATAGTGTATCTGGTTTTATTCACATTGAATTTTGATTTCCAGGGACACCTACACAGAAGGATACATTACCAGATTTTAATATATTTTCCTCCCTATGTATCTTGAATCATTGTTTCTGTTGAGTGGTTTTAATCTTTATATCTTGCCTCTCCAAGAGTTCAAGATGGTATATCTAACAAACTGCATATTACCTCGGCCCCCCACAACAGTAATAACCATGAGAGTAGGTGGGGCTGAAAGAAAACAATTAGCCCGAAGTGCTGATTGAGATTCTCAATCATGGTTGTCCCAAAGATTGTCAGCTGAAGGTTCTTGGATGAGAAGTGAAACGTTTTCAAGGGAAAAAACCAAAAAACTCCAGTCGCTTTTTGGAAAAGCACCTTAGGGAAAATTGTCCCAAAGTCATCTAATAGATTTCTAAGACTAAAAATGAACCTGAATCTGGCTCTCCCTGGTTTTAGTTCTACACCTTACCTACTGCACATCTCTGTAGTGTGGAACTGAAAGAAAAGATCTGTTGCATTTAAGAATGCCCAGTTGAGCATTCAAAACATGAAGAAAAATGCATGGTTTCATATCAAAGCCATATCAGAGACTTTATGACATAACAATTTGATTGTGTAGAAGTACAGCAGGACCAATTCAATGCTGGCAAATGCTAAAAAGAAACAAATACAGTCTCTCCCCATGTGTACGGAGACATAGAGAATACAGTAGCAGCAACTTTGAATGATGGATTCCTACATCTATTTTTAGATAGATCTAAAGAGAAGCACAACAATAACGTTAACATTATTATTATTTTTTTGGTCTGGGCAAATGCAGTTTTGCTTTCATTTCCAGAAACATTATCATAATGAAAAGTGAAGTACTCAGAAAGATAAAAGATATGCCTGAAAAGATTGTACTTAAAAGTGTTGAGCCATTAAATTGAGACGTGTTATAGATTTCTGGTTGTCGTTTGTGAAGAACAAAGCATTTTTCTCTGTAAAGCTGTACAGGTGTCTAGCAGGAGAAACAAAACTATCAAAGCTCAAAGCTGTTTTCTTTCTTACCATCTCTGCCTTCTAATCTTTGAACTGATCGCAACCATTCATCTCTGATTATTCAGTTCCATTAACTAAAAGCACAACACTTATTTAGTGAGAAAGATTAATGGATCCATCTATTTCTATTCCTTATCACTTTTATTTGGCTTTGTTCTTAGATCCATTCAAAGCCATTTCTGCATTAATTTACAATTTTTACATTTAAATTGATGATTATTTATGTTCATTGGTCAATACAGTTTTGCAGATTACACTACACTGGCAGGAATAGCCAACACCCCAGAAGACAAGCTCAGGATCCAAAAAGATCTTGACAAAACTTGAACAATGGGCCCTATCCTACAAAATGAATTTTAATGTGAAAAAAATCAAAAGTTTTACATTTAAGCAGGAAAAATCAAAGATTTAAGTACAGATTAGGTGAGATCTGTGAGTCCTAGTTACAGTGGACTCACAGTGAGCCAGCAGTGTGCAGAAGCAGCCAAAAAAGCTAATACAATCCTGGGTTGTATAAACAGAGACATAGAATCAAGATCATGTAAAGTATTAGTACCACTTTATAAAACCCTAGTAAGACCACACCTTGAATACTGCAACCAATTTTGGTCACCATATCACAAAAACGATGTTGAGAGTTTGGGGAAAAAAAATTCAGAGAAGAGCAACTAAGATGATCAAAGGCCTGGAGACTAAAACATATGAAGAACAGCTGCAGGATTTGGGTTTGGCTAGTCTAAAGAAAAGAAGAAATAGGGGTATTTGAGGGGCTGCCACAAAGAAGAGTGGGTCAAATTATTGTCCAAAGCACCAGAGGGCAGGACAAAAAACAATGGCTGGAAACTGACCAAAGAGAGAAGCAACCTGGAATTAAGGAGAAGCTTCCTAACAGTGAGGACAATTAACCAGTGGAACAGCTTGCCTTCAGAAATCACTGGAGGTTTTTAAGAAGAGACTTCTTGCCTGAAATGGTATAGGTTGTCCTGCTTGAGCAGGGGGCTGGACTAGAAGATCTCCAAGGTCCCTTCCAGATCTATTCTATTCTGACAATTCTATTCATTTCACAGAATGCAATAGTATAACAGTTATAAAGGTATAAATGATTATAAAAATTATATTACAGGAATTAATTTGAAAAGGCCTGGAAAGTTATTTTGGCAGAATTCTGAGTGACAGGGCACAAGAGTAAAATAGTGATAGCAGAATATTGGAAATATGATCAGGCTTCATACTGTGAGATGCAGACAAAATTTTTGCATTTTAGTGGAGAAATGTATGACTATGAGAAAATATACTGAACATTTGCTGAATAGAAAAAAAAAGCATGATAAACGCCTTGGAGTATTGAATGCTTGGTGTGAGTAAAGAATTGAAAGTTCATGGTGAATTCAATAAGAACAATAGAGGGTGTGTGTTTACAAATTAAATGCTTAGCAAATGTTTCACACAGAATATAAAATAAACCAAAGCTATTAACTAAGATGATTAAAGGCCTGGAGACTAAAACATATGAAAAACGGCTGCAGGATTTGGGATTGGCTAGTCTAGAGAAAAGAAGAACTAGGGGGGAACATGATAGTAGTATTCCAGTATTTGAGAGGAGGGGGTCAACTTATTTTCCAAAGCACAGAGGGCAAGGCAAGAAACAATAGATAGAAACTAATCAAGGAATGAAGCAACCTGGAATTAAGGAGAAACTTCCTAACAGTGAGGACCAGTGGAATAGTTTGCAAACAGAAATTGTGGGTGCTTCATCACTGGAGGTTTTTAAGAAGAAACTGAATAGTTACTTGTCTGAAATGATATAAGGTCTGCTGCTTGAACAAGGGGCTGGACTAGAAGAACTCCAAGTTCCCTTGGAACTCTATTCTATTGATTTCTGATTGATTTCACTGTCTGATGTTCCTTTAGTCATTTATTAATGAGTAAATGTGCAATAAATGTTTACAATGATGTTGGGCATATGTTGGTTGGGGACTTGTAATTTTGGTTGGCTGAGCATGTACTTTTATATACAAATCATGACATGTTGCTGCATGAAAATATGAACATTTTGCACTGAGTATTAAGACTACATGACACTATGAGCAATATGGATCTAAAAATGAATATGTCAAATAGCAAGGTAGTTGTGATTTGCAAGTGAAAATGGAGTGAATGTTATGGGATGAAAATGAGATCAAGTAGGTAAGTTTTATGTAGTTTAAAAATAGTTACAAAGGTGAGAAAATGGATGGATAATAGAATAGGCTACTAGACTGTCTTGTTGTGAAGAATGATAGCTATGCGTAAGACTGTACTTTATTAAATGGAAGTGAAAATTTGGTGTGCCAGGAGAAATTTAAATGCAGCAGGAAGTGGTTATTTAAGAAGTGTGTGTGTGTGTGTGTGTGTGTGTGTGTGTGATAGAGCAAGGAGAGGTAGGGTTAAGAATGAATAGGATGATAAATGAAGGTGGATTGAATGCAAAAATAAGTGATCAGTTTGAAAGAAGTACTCTGAGGTGGATTGGTCACATAGGCAAAATGAATTATGATCAGGTTTTAAAAGTAAATATATAAAGGACACTGAATGGCATGAAAATGGCATAAGAGGACTAAGAAAATTGTGGTTTCATTAAGTTGTAGTACTATGAGCAATTTAAGGACAAAGGCAATGAGGTGCATGATAGGAAAATCTCAGGATGATTTGCAAGGATAGAAAGTATAAGGAGTGCTATAATGAATGATGTTGGTATAAACTAGATTTAATCAGATTTCCTTTCATCTCTTACATTTAATTTATTTTGCTCATTACTTCATATGGTTTTCTGAGTTTTATATAACATTGCTCACCCTGAAAAAGAATAGCATGAGTATGCAGGCAAGTATCTGTCTAATCAAGAATCTCACTGAATTTAATGGAATTAACTTCCACATAAGTAAATATTACTGTCCTGTAAATGTCTGTTAATAATAATATAATATTTATTTAATAATATAATGGAGTATGATTTCTACGATAGACACTGTTTCAAAATAGACACTTCTTAAGTTACATGCCTATAAAATGCACATATGACATCATAATTTTGGGAAAGCTGAGGAGCCCAAAGGACAATTATGTATGTTTTTATTTTATTATATTCCATTTACATACAATCCTGAGAGAATTAAATCCAATTAATTCATACAAAAATTCCTCAAGCATTATTGGAGATAAGCATACATTTAATTTTCTTTCTTTCTTTTGGTAATTGTTTTGTTCTTTTAATCTTATTTTTTAAGCATTGAATAATCTTGGTGGGTAAGTTCATTAATAAACTGTGTATACCACAACTTTCCAAAAAGTAGCCCTAAAGGAAATTCATAGAAATAGCAGAAAGGTAGGCTCAAACAGCAGCCTACTAAGAAAAAAAAATCAAAATATTGTTTCAATTGACTTCTGAAGATTTGGGATATGTTGAATCTCTTGAAATGGGCAAAGCCTTCGCTATCTGATGCCACTACTGAAAAGTATCTTTACAAACATGTACATGCAAAGTACAAGACACAACAGATTTTCTTCTAGAAAATGAAATATATTCAGGAATTTGTAGGGCTGGGGGTACTCCTGGAGATGTCCAGATCCCTACAGTCATGGAACAGCAGACTCTGAATAATGCTTCTCTGAATATTATTTTGTCATCCTGTGGTTCTTTGCATGCCGGTTGTTAACATCTACAAAAAGTGTTGGAATTTGTTCCTAACCTGAAGTGTGATGGTCAGTATATGAATTATCAGACATGTACATTGACATTTTAAGATTCAAATCAATGAACATCTTTGGCTGATTTTTGATTAATAAATGTTATTTAAATGGAAAGTAGGCTTCCTTAATTTTTGATCATATACATACTTAAATTCCTAACATGCACATATTTTAACAGTAAAAATCAAAAGCACTCTAAAATGTAAATATCACAAGAATGAATCCAATTCACACTATCAACACTCTACCCTTTAGAAAGCAACATGAGGACCAGGAAGTGTCTGGGACGGTAGCTGGCTAAAGTTGTAGTATAAAATCTTTGCTTGGAAATAGATTTTCTTTCACCACCATAAGCAAACATACACAAAAGTGCAATTCTGTAATACGGAATAAAAGTATAAATAGGAACTAAGAAGCTAGTTTACAACAAAACCAAGACTACAAGGTTTTTGCACAAACTGCATAAGCCCCATTAGTCATGAACAATGACAATCTGAGTAGTGCAGTGATGCAATTAATTTTAAATGATAATTGAAATCCAGTTTGGATTCTCTATAAGTTGATCTTTACCATATAGCAGATTTTGGAAATTTTTCTTATGGCCACAGAACTACTGTCGCTTTTAGTATTTGAAGACAATCTCTAAGAGCTGGAAATTCTACTAAATTGCTAAATTCTACTAAATTATTTTCAGAAACACTTTCTAATATAAATGTATTTTCCTAAAGCAAGAATAAGCAATGTACATTCATTTGAGTTACAAATCTAACAGTTCTGAAGTGGCAGAGCTATTATGGAAGTTAGAGTCCACATTCATTGGAAAGATTACCTGCTACTGTGTAATAGTAAGACCGGCGCAGTGTTTCTCAACCATGACAATTTTAAGGCATGTGGACTTCAGCTCCCAGAATTCCACAGCCAGCAATGCTGGCTGTGGAATTCTGGGAGTTGAAGTCCACATGCCTTAAAATTGTCAAGGTTGAGAAACACTGAGTAAGAGGGGAAAAAAGAGAACTGCAGAGTAGGATATGAAGACTATCTATCTTATTATGTATAGATTTGATATTGTATTTAAATTCCATCTGGATGACTGATAACTCTTGTTTACCTGCCCTCCATAGTAAAACTCTTCTGAGTCATTGTCTCCTTCTGAATCTTCTTCAACCACATTACTGTGTCTTGATTCCTGATTAGAAAAAAAAAAGAAGAGGAACTCAGAGGGTTTTTCTTTGTTTAAAAAATCTACAGAATACTCCAGATTCAAAAAACCAAACATTTCAGATTATGCAGCACTATAGCCGTAGCCTTTAAATCAAACTTATTTTCCTCCAGAATTGCATGGCAGCTGCTCTTATCTATAAATTACTTCCATTTTTCTAGTAATTTTCACATTCTATAAATCTAAGAGGTAGGTAGAGACAGAATCAAAGACAAAGACAGAGGTACATAACTCTAAATCAAAGTTTGTTCATGAGCTATACTTGATTGGCAATAATCCAGTCATTCAGATGACTATGTGTGATAGTATGTAGAAATGATCTTGAGGAATGAGGGGAAGAAGATACTACCTAGGGATCAAACAGACAAGAAGGGAAAGTCTGCAGTTGCTTAATGGTCAGAGAAAAAAACTTAAGAAGGACCCACCCTATTTAATCAGGCTATAATAATAATAATAATGATAATGATAAAGTTGGAAGGGACCTCGGAGGTCATCTAGTCCAACCTCCTGCTCAGGCAGGAAACCCTATACCATTTCGGACAAATGGCTGTCCAGTTTCTTCTTAAAAACTTCCAGTGTTGGCGCATTCACCGCTTCTGGAGGCAGGTTGTTCCACTGGTTAATTGTTCTGTCAGGAAGTTTCTCCTTAGTTTTAGGTTGCTTCTCTCCTTGATTAGTTTCCACCCGTTGCTTCTTGTCCTGCCTTCAGGCACTTTGCAGAATAGCCTGACTCCCTCTTCTTTGTGGCAGCCCCTGAGATATTGGAACACTGCTACCATGTTCCCCCTCATCCTTCTCTTCGTTAAACTAGACATACCCAATTCCAGTAACCGTTCCTTATATGTTTTAGCCTCTAGTCCCCTAATCATCTTTGTTGCTCTTCTCTGTACTCTTTCTAGAGTCTCAGCATCTTTTTTACATCGTGGTGACCAAAACTGGATGCAGTATTTCAAGTGTGGCCTTACCAAGGCATTATAAAGTGGTATTAATACTTCACGTGACCTTGATTCTATCCCTCTGTTAATGCAGCCTAGCACTGTGTTGGCTTTTTTGGCAGCTGCAGCACACTGCTGGCTCATATTTAAATGATTGTCCACTAGGACTCCGAGTCCCTCTCACAGTTACTACTATTGAGCAAGGTACCCCCTATACTATACCTGTACATTTGGTTTTTCTTGCCTACATGTAGAACCTTACTTTTTTCACCATTGAATTTCCTTTTAATGTAGTCCTACATCAAAGCAGAATTGGCTCATCTGCTTGTGTTTCTTATCTGCTTTACCTGGAGGGCTGCTTTACCTGTTATTACTTATGTGTCAATTCTTTGAACTGTTTAGATCAGGAGTTGTAAACTGTTTAATGCAAGAACAATTGAGCAGTGGCTCGGTTATGAGATGATGTCATTGAATAAGACGCTTATCAGGTACAGAATTGAGGGGCTGCACTTTATAAAGGTAATAATAGATACTGTAAGGCCAACACATTCATTTGGACCAGTTATGCTGTCAAAATTGGTCATTTGCCACTTTTAACAAAGCAATCTTAGGATAGTTTGAGAGGTGCTTGCAGCTATATATGTCCTGTGAATTACCCACCCCTTGTTTAAATGACCCCACCTGTTAAGCAGTTGAGATTAAGCAGTATGTCCTATCAAAAACCTGTCTGGATTACCATTCCACAACAACACAAAGTGTATTTTAATGTAGGAGAACTAGGGGAAAACATTTATGTTGAATAAAATCAAATATTTTCATAGCCATGACTTGATAGTGCAGTTTGGATCCAAAGACTAAAACGAATGGCTATGAAATCCAGAACAAACTAATACTCCTTACAAACTAAAGAGTTTGACATGCAGGAATTGTCTGAATGTACAGAGGAACACAGTCATCTAAAACATTTTGGATCCCTTTCAAAAGTTATGCCCAAATTGTACATTTTAATGTTAAGAAGCATGAGATCATTAAATATATAAAAACATACAATTCAATTTGAATTAATTTAAGACAGATTTAATATTTGTCCAGACTCTGCCAACTTTCTTGAATACTGTGATCAGCCTGCTACACAAAGATTAAAGGCTGCCCAGTAATTTATTTTTACCAAGATAGATGAAAAAAAAATCTGTAAGTCAGGGTTGAACTGTGGAGTCCTTACTGCACTCAAAGCTTGGTGGTTTCCTTGTAGAAGTTTCATTACTTGAATAGGTAACACCATCAGCACAAACACCCTCGATTTTAACTATATTTGCTTTTAATTAAATTTAAATTTAATTATCCTGTTTGCACACTTCTTTTTACAGAAAGGAGCTTTAGAAACCTATTCAAAGGTTTTAGAAAACATTCTTTATACTACTAGCTATTAAATTAGAAAGCAACATCTTCTGGGTCTACAACAGTGGTTCTCAACCTTTTTAATGCCGCGACCCCAACCGGTCATAAGTCGAGGACTAAACCGGTTGTAAGTCGAGGACTAAACCGGTCGTAAGTCGAGGACTAAACCGGTCGTAAGTCGAGGACTACCCAATCGGCCGTAAGTCGAGGACTTTTTCTGCCCGGGAGCGCCACGTATGCGTGGTTCCGCCCCCTGTGCTGGCCGAGGCGTAGCTGGCAAGCAGCAGAGACGGAGCAGGCCGACCACCAGCTGGCCCAGCCCAAGGGAGGTAAGGCACCCACCGGAAAAGGGGAAAAAATGGCGGACAGCCTTGCTTGGCGACCCCCGTGAAATGGTCGATTGACCCCAAATGGGGTCACGACCCATAGGTTGAGAACCGCTGGTCTACAATATTCCTTCCATCACTGAATATGTAAATGGAGTGCTTATCGGTTGGTGTCCATGAACACAACTAACATGAGACAGGTATAAAAAGGCTAAACTGCAAAAAAAAGGAACAATCTCATTTCTTCTGAAATTCTTTGGTAAAAATAAAATACAATGTCTGTAACCACAGGCCTTCAAGAAAAGCTTTAAGGCTCATTTATTTTCCATGGCCTTCTGCTGAGTTGTGCTTTTTATAGAATTGTTAATGATTGTGACTGCAACATTTTGGCTTCTTAAAATATTTTAGGCATGACAAGTTTGTTTTCTTGTTACATCTGTATTTTTATTAACTCCTAATCTTCATATTTGCAGGGTTTTTATCTTTTGAGGGCTTTTTTCCATCAGAAAAGATGGCTTAATTTTAATAAATTAAAACTTATAAAATTAAAATAACCAAGTAAAATATTTTGCATACTTAATGGGAAAATCTTGGAAGGAAAATATGTTTCTATTTATTTCTATTGAAATATTACTAATTAGCCTGTTTTCAGATACTTCCAGATAAAATGACTGTTACACCCTACCAAATAATATGTAAGGCAAATGAAATTTGCTGGCAGAGGTTGGTGATGGCCACCAGTATCAGAAATAAATGTATGAATTTGTGCAGAAAGGTTTAAGCAAAAAATGACTGTTGGTCACAAGGACTATTTTTTTTACTCAAGATCACAGATCTTTTACAGGCACCTACTTGAGTCTAGGCCTTTGATGTACAATTTCAATGACTTTGTAACACCATTTTCATCTATTTTTGGATCATGCAGCCCTACTTACAACAAAACTATCAAGCATGTAGGTACTAAGATAGAGTTAAATGATGACTTGTGTGGCATCACATCATCATGCAAATGATGTGACTTATGTAGGAGATGTCTGTCCATCAGTACATAATAAAGCTCATACTGGAATTGTGGCATCATTGTAGCTTACTACAAATGACACTATCAGGATTTCTTAGTCACATGAATTAGAGCACATACAGATTCCAATGAACATAAAAGTAGTCTGTTCACATCACAGAAGTAGCTTGATTATGATTAAAGTAGGACATATATATAGTCCCTGACTGATGAAGGTGATAGAGCTTGCCTTAAATCATGATTGTCATAAAGTGGATCACTCATGTGACCAAACTGATTTTACTACCTTTATTTTGTGGCAGTCATTAAGCAATTCACCATGGTCATTAAATGAATCCATGCTTTATAAACAAACCCATTGTTTGCAATTGGGGGCTACCGAAAACCAAAAGTAATTGACAGTTTTCAGCAAAAAAACATTGTAAATTGTGGTCACATGACCGTGGCATGATGCAAACAGTCCTAAATACAGGATGCTTGTAGTCATGTGACTACGGGACGTGGAGGGGGCAGACATTGGAGCTTTGGAACCAGTTCTAAATTCCTTTAAGGAAGTATCTTTTGGGGGTGGGGGTCTGCCAGAATTTAAACAGTCACTAAGTGACTGATTGTAAATTGAGGACCACCTGTATCTTGGAAGAACATTTCCCCGGTGTTATTTTCCTTTTTGACCTGGCACTTGGAAACAAGTATTATCAATTTTTAAAAAATATACTGTACCTCTCCATTTTCTCTTTGTAATTTTGACTTTATAAATAAACAACAATTGACATCATTGGTTTTTCGCAATTCTAAAGAAAAGTATGAAAAAATGATTAAAATTAGCAGGTTAAAACATTTTTTAAATGTGTACTTGTTATTAGATACTTGTTATTCATGAGCACCTTTACATTCTTGCACTGGAGCTGTCAGAAATTTGGGACGTTAGATACATATTGGGTCTAATGATGACCTGTGTGACAGTATATTCAAAATGTCACAACAAAGAAGGTTCCCATGATCTAGCTAGATCATGTTTTCAGAAGCATTTTCATTAGAAGTGCATGTCAGTTGTCCTAACAAAACTTTTCATCTTGTATTTTTTTGCAAATCTCTCCTTTTGTTTGCCCACCAGTTTCTCCTAACAGTGCTTTTAAAAATACTTCTAAGAAAAGTTGCAATCTCATCTGAGATGCATATTTTAACTCCCATTCATGTAAGAGTTAAATTAAAGAAATGTAACATGACCTTTTATTTATGAGCAAAATACTGGTTATTACTTGTATCCCATTATTTTTAAAAATAACTCAAGGCAGAGTACATATTGAACACACCTTCCTCCTCCTATTTTTCCCACAATAACCTTGTGAGGTGAGTTGGGCTGAGACAAAATGACTGGCCCAAAGTCACCCAGCTGGCTTTCATGCATGATGCTGTAACCACTAGATCACCCTTGATAAGAAGTCCAAATAAAATAAATAAGCTTGTATGTATAAAGAGCACAGTCTATGTTTACTGGGGATAGACTGAGTTGTCTGAAATCATTTAGCTTCATTTAGCATCTGTAAGTAAGTGATCAAAGGACTGCTCTATTATAAGGATGCTGCATTTCTCTGAAGACATTATCTTGAAAGAGGAAGATGAAGTCTAAATGTATGCTTATATATGGATAATTAAAAAAGGTACTTCTCAACAATCCAGTCAAGGTTTGATGTTTTAGTGACTTACATTATGAAATTTGATATATTTTTGGGGGGAGGAGGCAGGGACATAAGTACGGCTTAATTGAGGGCAGAGAAAATGAGGAGAACCATGCCATCATTTGTTTTCCCCATATCCTACATCCCATGAAGGTGTCCCCCTCCTCTCCTTGGGCACTGAAAGCATGTCTTTCCCACTCCAGTTTGAGCTTCTGCACCCATTCACCTTCCTCAGAAAATGTCCAGTTTCTTAGCAGCAGAAGAAGAAAAAACAACTCTAGCTCATATAATAATCATCTGGACTTTTCAACTTGGGTACGATGTGCCTCTTCTTGACCCACAAGCTAAAAGGAAGATGTGAAAAGACAAAAAGAGTGTCTAGCTATGGTCTCTGGGGAAATCTTCAGAACCTCTGAGGTCTCTGCTTCTACTGCATAGTGTTGCTGCCTCTGATTACAGCCCACAGCCCCTTGGAAATTACCAAATAATGGTGGTACTTTAAAATGGAGGGGGAAACAACGACAACATCACCCCCAACAACAAAAAAAAACTAAGTGCTAAGTTAGGCAAGCTTAGAAAAGAAAAAAGTGAAAAGCTATGTCTACATCCTGGCCAAGTAGATAGGAAAAATTAGCCCACATTTCCATCCTCAATTCGACCATGTTTGGTAACATACTTAATGATGTTGCCTGTAAAAATTTAAAATATGTAATTTTAGCCATCAAAATATTACTCATCTTTTCAGGTAGTCCATTCCATGCAGATCATAAAATGTTCTAAGAATCTAGCAGAATGTGAGGTCCTAATGATAATTTTCTGTTTCCAGTTGTTCTATTTATTCTTAAGCTTTTTCTAAGCCACATCTGCCAATAGCTAGCATGTGCCTTGCTACAGCACAGGAATACATAAATTTAATCTTTTTTGTAAATCGTACAAAACAATGGACACAAAGAATAGTTAACATGCTTTCCCCAATCTGGTGTCCTCCAGATCTATTAAGATTACAACTCTGAGATCTCTTAGGATTGACTGAGAACTGATATACAAGGGAAACAAAAGATTGTTGATAGTTTTGTAGTTTAACAATTCATTTTTACTGTGGCATTAGTGTTATCTCTTCTGCCTTGATCGGCCTTAAGAAATATTGAACATAATTTCCTTGGCTACAGAAACATCTGCTGGTAAAGTCAGGTATAGTAGGAGAAACATGCCACATTCTGCCCAGTGTAATAAATTAGATGATATAAGATATTACCTGTGGAAATTCGGTGGAAAATTACTGGAATTGGCTCTGTTGTAACTAGTACATCTTCATCATTATCTGAGCTGGACACATAGGTGTTATCTGCAATAAGACAAAGAAAACACTATATTTAACTTACACAGAAGCCTTTAAATCTTGGAGTGACAAGATGCAAAATGCAAGCAACGAAAAAATATCAATATTCATAGGTTTCATGGAGACCAGACCGAGGCACAGCATTAATAAGCCAGAGTCAAAAGGGCAAGTGTTGCCTTGCCTCTGATGAATTAATAATAAAAATGTACTCAATAATCTGTTTTATGGGTCTAGGCTATAATCCATAACCCACTTAGTCAAGGCCTTAAACTATTTTTTTAACTGCTCATTGATTTTCAGTCCCATTTGGAAACCTGAACATGCTTTTTCCTAGCCTATTTCTCTTTCATTTGGCAACCATTAATTTGCTTAACCCTTCAGTAGGCTGTAAAAAAAACCCCAAAGATGCTGATTACCTTTTATTTACTTTATCTCATCTCCATGAGGTCGTGACCAGTGGTGGGCAAGTGGCCATTATTAATCATTTGAACCTGGTTATTAAAGAAGAAAGTTGTATCCACTTCCACCCCAACCAGGGACCGATCAATTAGGGCTCCATTGTGGGAGGTAGAAAGCTGAGTAGGCTTTGTTATAGCTCAGTGTCTCAAACTTGGCAACTTTTAAGAAGGGTGGACTTCAATTCCCAGAACGGTGGCTGAGGAATTTTGGGAATTGAAGTCCGCACATCTTAAAGTTCTCAAATTTGAGAAGTACTGAACAATTCTTCTTTGTAATTCAGTAAGCTCAGACAGACTATTCATTGGCTAGCCATTACTTCATGCTGTTACTCATTGGAACATACTCCTTAAACTATAATGTCTCCTAAAGGAGTCATTGTGTTGTATATTGTATTGATTCCCAGTAATGGAACTTTTAATCTTTGCATTGTGTATTGGAAAGCTTTTTTTTTAAAAAAAAAATTTAACATTGGCTTCTTTATCAAGCATATATTCAGGCAAGAGATGCAATAAGAATTCTAGAATATGCTTCCAGTGTGTGTTGGAAGAAGGGATTGGTGGCTGTGGAAAAGACTGAAAGGCCATTTCAATGCAAGCTTTGCCAGAAATCCCTTCAATGGGGGTAAAGCAAAGTGACCCCCATTCTGCAGAACTCACTCTCATCAAACAGTGATATGGAATCGCTGTGCCTCAATTTTTAGCAGAGGCAGAGAGCACCATCATTTTGCAATCTACCCTGACTATGTTCACAGGACAACATACAACACACGTGTATTTTACATACATCTATAGAAACACATGTGTGTCTCCCTATTTTTACTTGCAGTGATAATGATATAGATGGTATATGCTCTAAGGTTATGGTTATTTTAGCTGTATATTTGAATGATTTATAGAGCTGTCCATCACAAAATTATTGGCTATCATTTGCCCATCTGCAGCATTAAGAAAATCCAAATTTGGTGCCTATTAATTTAATGCATAGACCAATGATGACGAACCTTTTAGAGACCGAGTGCCCAAACTGTAACCCAAAACCCACTTATGTATCACTGGGTGCCGGGTGGGTGTGGCCCATTGGGTAGGTGTGACCCATTGGGTAGGCATGGCTGTGGTGGTAACGGCAGACTGGGTGGGACTAAAAAGTTCAATCAATCAATTCCAACTTTGCGAGATCTTTTTTTTTCCCAAGAGAAGTTGAAATTGATTGAAAAAAGTTGAACTTTTTTTTTTTTTGCATGGCGGCGGAGGCCTAAAGTGAAAAGGTTTTATAAAACCCAGCTGAAGGCCTAGGACTAGGGCAACGGTGCGCGTGCCCATAGAGAGGGCTCTGTGTGCCACTTGTGACATGCGTGCCATAGGTTCGCCACCACGGGCATAAGCATTTGCTTGTTGTTCACGCATTTATTCTTCTTCTTAGGTATAATTTTCAGCTGATTTGAGATACTTGGGATAACTCTAAATACTACATCTTTCTTTATTTCATATGTTTTCTAAAGCCTATTCTTGATAAATCAGTACCCCTACTCAAGATGTCATTTTGGGAAGAATTATTCATCTATTGACCTGTTTAATATGATCAGTTAGCTTTTGACTAAATATTTATTGAGGGACTAGACTGAACAGGAGAATCGTTTGGCAGAGGATGTTGGATGTAGGAAGGCTCACATTACCACAGATCTGTTCTTGGTGCCATAATATCTGATATTTAATCTCTATTGAACTATACTTTTTCCTGTACGCATCAAAAGAAAACCAAGCACAATGACCTCTTAGTCCCACTGTTATTTAATCATCACTTAGACAAATTTGGTAAACTACTTAAACAATCTGAACTTTCTCTTTCCTAAAGGGAGGAAAGATGAAGAATAAATTTGCCAAGATCTTATTATAAACAATAATGCGGCTATACTGCAGGTCTCAGAAGAGCCTTCAGGGCCTTCATGTCCTAGTGACAATAACACAAACAACACATGGAGGGGGGAAACTGCACAAAAGACTTGACATGCAAAGGCTTCCTTTCTTGATGTCAAGCCTTTGGCCCATGAACCTTCAGATGGTGCTGGGCAGAACAATTCTCCTGCATTGTTTCCCCACCCATTCTCATTCAATTAGATGGAAATTGCTACATACATTTCTCTCTCTCTCAAAAAAAAAAAAGACTTTGAAGAACATTCTGATGGGAGGAGTATGATGTTCTTGTGTTTTTTTACGAAAGCCCAAGTAAGTCCTCGACTACATTAAGTCCTTTATTTTTCCTTGGATACGGAATAGGACACCTCAAGACAGCCAACTTTTGTTTAATTGTTTAAAAATAATTATTATTTTAGTTTCTGTCATTCACATTTCATCCCTCCTTTTGCATCCTTTCTTTAATGCCATCATTTCTTCAATAGTATGTAACTTCTGTCACACGACATCATGGCGAGTTGGCCATGATGAATTGTCCCATGATGAGTTGGCTGTGAGGAGTTGGCTGCGGGGAGTTGTCCTAGACCCCCTTGGATAACCCATTCACCAATTCAATTCAATCTCAAGGAAAATTATTTCAAGTAAATTTCTCCCACTGAGCTATTTCAGCCCAGAAAACATGGGATGGAGTGAGGGAAACGTCTCCAACAACAACAACAACAACAAAAGTGTTGCAAGGAAGAGCGTCTTTTGAAGGAATCTCAAAAACAAAAGCAAATGGGGGTTAAGGGATCACTCTGAGATAGAAGGCAGAAAAACAGATGCCTCTTTTGAAAGGCAAGAAAACGACTAAGAAATTACAAGGCAGTTTTAGTTTTAACAACCCATGAAGATGAGAAATTCCCTTTTCTTCAAAGACACATGCTTTAGTTACAGTTAGCACATTATCCCATCAGCAATAGCTGAAAGCCAAAAACATCTTTTGGGGTTGGTTTTCTCCCTTCCCCCCCCTTTCGCCTCTGTGTGGTTTTATATATATACATATAAAAGCCTGATTCACATCAGCTATTTATATAAAAGCCTTTAAAAAAAAAAACCAGGCAAACCACATTCTTTCCCAGATGCACTGAATTCTTACATTCTCACCCTACTTAAAAAAGGAAGGCTAAAAAAGAGAAAATAAAGGATGCAAATGAGGTGGCTAATGAAATGTGATTATCAGGAAGGTGATCCTAGGGCACAGTAATGGAACATGAAACCTCTTTTACTGTCAGCAGCATAGAAAGTCACACTTTACCTGGGTAATCCTCAGAGACGTGCACCGAATAGGATATGCTGTTAAAAAGAAGAAAAGGATAAAGAATAACATAAGAGAAGCAGTAGAATAATTGCGCTGTCCACATTTATTTATAGATTTTTGACAATCCAACAAAGCAGTTACTTTACCAGATTTCAAAGGGTCTAGCACAAAAAAAATAAATAACCCAACACAGCAGGAAAGCTTTCCAGATTTTTCCTCCCCCTCAAAGAAATGCCTCTGAAATTAAAAAAAATGCCATTTGGGGGAAAAACGGGAAAAATGAGAATCAACACTGCTCAAATGTCTAATTTCTTTAGCATTGCTTCCTGTTATCTGTCCCCATTTCTATTCTGAAAGGAAAACATCATACATCTGCAATGTACAAATCCCTTACCAAATTCTCTCTAAGCCTATTTAAGAAGTCCTTAAGGGTTACACTCCTGCAATTTAGAAGATGGGGTTTGCCTATTGCAGACTTTCGTATAAAGACTGCAATCTATTTTATGCGAGAATAATTTGTTCTAATATAAGTTGCTTAGCACCTTCAGGGTATTATTATTATTTTGACCAAATGAAGTAGCTATTTTGAAATGTGCATGGGATCATTTAAAAAAAAAAAGATTCACACCAGTTCTTTATGTAAAAGAGTTTGTCTATGATCTTAGCCTTCTCAAATCGTTTCAGGAATAGCCAAACAACAGAGAACCTCCTCAACTTTGGACCAGTTACAACAGTCTTGGAAAGGGTGCTTTACCACTCATCCAGATGTTATGTCCTCATGGCCACATGATTGCATTTCAGACATTTGGCAACTGACTCACATTTACGACTGACTACAACGGCCTGCAGTCTCGGGACCATGATTTGTGATGTTTTTTGCTAGTTTCCACACACACACACACACACCATTCAGGAGAATGGATTTGTACTTATAAGCATGTGATTCACTTAATGATCACCATAAAAACTGTAATAAAATCTGATGCAGTCACATCAGTACCTGTATTTACGACTATCATAACTTAACAACCAAAATTCCCGGCTCAATTATGGTAGTAAGTCAAGGACTACTTGTATTTGCAAAAGTATAAACTGTATACTTTTGTGTGTATATTTATCAGGCTTTCATTCCTTAACTTTCTCAATGCCATAAATGAACTTTCCATTAAGAATTCTTATGTGTAGGTTGATTTGGGAAACTAATATTACACTGTTCCCCCTGCCTGTGAGTAACAATACCCCCGTCTGTGGAAAAATACTCTTTATGGTGCCTATAAATGTTCAGGTTAACAGCCAATGTGACTACACTGATACCCATCCTTGAGAGAACCAGCCTGTGTATTAGTCCAGTGGCCAAGCTAGATCTTTTTAAGCTATCAAAGAGAAGAAAATGAAGATCCTAAAGAAATAAGTAAAGCCTATCGATCTATTCCTGTTTCACCCAACACAATCAAATTTCTGAATGTATAATGGATACTTCCAGCCTTCTTTAAGACAACTAGAAGGTTGTAGCTATTCCACGTACCTTTATGATTTAAAAGAAGGATGGACAACATTGCTTCCCAACCTCCTTGAAAACTACAGAAAACCACTTTGATGTTCCTGAAGGGCCAATTCTACTTTCTTCTAGCTTCTTTTTGTATCTAGTGAGGCTAAGATGGTAATGGAAGTGGGAGGCCTCTGGGATGCAAACCACTATCCACTGATACCCATAACCCTTCTCCTCTGCACTCAAACAACAACCACAAACCAGGTGTGATGGGATGGGACTCTGTCAGGTTATATGGGTGGGAACGGAGGTTATTTACTTTCCAGAACACTTGGTTCTATTGCCACTTATAATTTATTTTTAAATTGTGGTTTTAAAAACTGACCATTTGGTAGCCAAATTTTGTCAAAACGATCACAGAGTTCACAGACTATATAGTCTTGATTTAAATCAGTATGTTCAGAGTACCCTTATTAAAAATTTGGAAAAGGCCATTGAGGTCATTATGCTCACTGCAGGAATCCCATTTAAAGCCTTCACAGCCAATATTTATCCAGCTTTTGTTTGAAGATAGTTAGCGAAAGGGAGCCCATCAATTTGCTAGGTAATTAGTATGCTATCAAAGTATTCTTACAGTTAGGCCATTTTCCCATAGATTTAACTAGAATTTGCTTTCCTGTTTCTTAAAAATTCTTCTTCTGCACTCTAGGATGGTAGAAATAGGGCCTGGCTCTCTTTAATGTGACATATCTTTAGGTAAGTGAAGACTATATCTCACATCCATCCTCTTTTCTCAAGAGTAAATAGACAATCTAGTTCTCCCAATCTCCATTCATAGTTCTTAGTTTCAAGAATGTAACGGTGAAAAGAGGTGCATTGCAAATGTCTTATGTAAAAACGTTTACTCCCTAGTTGACACTCCAGAAGAATTCATTAATAACAGTAATTAAAAATATATATTCCTGATCTATTAAAATATATTTTGCTCAGTGAGAATTTTCAAAGATACATACTATGTTAAATCAAGAATTGCAAAAATTTGCTAAAAATTTGCAATAGCTTTTCTAAATAATACAAATTTTATGGACTGTAAAATTGATGATACCCACTCTGTTTGGCTTAAAACTGCTGACTCTTTCTGCATGGGTACTTATACAGCTGCTGGGTGCCACCGTTTCCTATTTTTGCTGTTGTTTAGACTAGTAATTGCTTAGTTGGAACACTGTGCGTGCTTATAGAAATCCCACAGAATTCTATATGTTAAATATCAAGAAAATGCATTTGTATTCCCCTTCTCATCAAGTAATCTTCGCTATTTCAGTACCTTAATCTCACCTATGCTTACAAAAATGAAACTTACATGCATTGATCACTTTAAAAAGGATGGGTTTTCCTTCTTATTCTATTAATAATATTCTGATTCAATAATGAAATACAGAAACCTCCAGCGAAAGTCATATTGCTTCCAATATTAAAAGTAATATAAAGCCATCAGGACTAGAAAGCACTGGTTGTTTTATTTTCCATCAGTCCACCTAACCAATTCATTGAGATATAAAATTGGGAAATCCCTCCATTTTCTAAAAAGTAATTCATTTGCTTATTCTGCCCTATGTGAATAATTCTTGAAACAATTTTCAAAATATCTTTGGACACACTTGGACATCAGCTAAACAGATAAGCTATGTTGCTTGCAAAGGATTCCAATTCAGTGCAAAGAGTCAGACTAGATGATCAGGCTTCATATGGGATGATTCTACAGGTAGTCCTCAACCTATGACCACAATTGAGCCCAAAAATCTCTGTTGCAAAGTGAGACATTTGTTAAGTGAATTTTGCCCCATTTTATGACATGTTACACCAGAAATTAGCAAAAAGGTGAGAATCACATGACCCCAGGACACTGCAACCATCATAAATATGAGTCAGTTGCTAAGTGTCATGACCATGGGGATGCTGCAGCAGTCATAAGAGTAAAAAATGGTCATGAGTCACTTTTTTCAGGGCTATTGTAACTGAGCGTTCGTTAAATGAACTGTTGTAAGTTGAGGGCTACCTGTATTTCTTTTCTTGATAAAGAAATCAGCATCAGTAAACATTTACTGTATGGAAATTTTCCTAATCAGAAAAAAAATTCTTTGTATCTAGTGTTATCGACAGTTAATGGTTGAGTCAGTAGAATCTCTCATGAGGTACCGTACAGTTTATTTATAGTTCAACTTACTTCATAGTGAAAGCATATCAACAGCATGAGGTCTCACAAATCTGACATCATAGTTCTAGTACAAGGAGTTGATTAAGTCCTTATTTGGAGATGGCACAGAGTGGAAAATATAGCATGTTATGCTATTCAAAAGATGAACTAAAGGAAGATGGTATAAAATATATGAGCAATCAGTCATGCACTGAAGATTGCACATCTTCATCTTTCTTACAGATTTCTGAGAGAGGCTTTGAGTTTTGAATCAAAGGCAATAAATATTTGCATTTTTTCACCAAGAATAATTCGCACAGCTAGCTCATCCATGTGACTTGACCACAAATGAGCTAAATAGAAAATATCATTTGTAAATTGATGCTTGAATTAGCTTGCTATGCAAACAAAGTGGTGGCAAGACTTTGCAATACTATCACCTATGGCTTTGCAAAGTTTCCATTTCAAAACTATCTCACAGTAGATTTTCTTTTACCATCCTACTGTATATATTACATCATATTGCTAAGCCACTTGTTCAGGATATTTGTATCTTGAGTTAAATCAAAAAGTCTTATGAATGCACTTGAAAGAGTTGGCTACAGTGTAGAAAAGGATATCCTAACCTGCAAGTGATCTTGAAAAAAATCAATCAGAAGTTAGTGGCAAGTCAGATATTGCTGGATGGCTCTAAACCTAAATATATACCTTCTTAGTAAAATATTTAAGTGTCATTTATAACATGCTTTTCTATTAACTGTATTTAGACCAGTGGTTCTCAACCTGTGGGTTGGGACCCCATTTGGGGTCGATCGACCATTTCATGGGGGGTCGCCAAGCAAGGCTGTCCGCCATTTTTTTGTCCGCCATTTTTTTCCCCTTTTCCGGCGGGTGCCTTACCTCCCTTGGGCTGGGCCAGCTGGTGGACGGCCTGCTGCCGCTTGCCAGCTATGCCTCAGCCGGCGCAGGGGGCGGAACCACGCATGTGCGGCGTTCCCGGGCAGGGAAAGTCCTCGACTTACGACCGGTTGGGTAGTCCTCGACTTACGACCGGTTTAGTCCTCAACTTACGACTGGTTTAGTCCTCGACTTACGACCGGTTGGGGTCGCGGCATTAAAAAGGTTGAGAACCACTGATTTAGACAATGGTATATTATAGTATAACCACAATACAATTAACAAAAAAGTTCTAGAAATGAATAAGAAAGACAAAATAGAATGGTGGAAACACCACCGAAGCCATCAGTGTCTGGGCCATTCCTGTGACAAGATACGCTGCTGATACAAGAGTCAAGTTCAACTGGACAATTTGGACCAAAAAATAAGAAAACTGATGGCTATTCACTAGACATTACATCCCGGTAGTGATATTGATACCTGCCCCATAGAAATGGAGGCAGAGGTTTACTTCAAGTCAAACTGTCAAAAGAAGAAAATCACTGATACAAAATTGGACTTACTGAATGTATTGGAAACGAAGCATGAATATTGAAATAATGAAATAAAAACATGAACAAAATGCTGACAAGGAAAAGCATTACATGGTCAATTTCTACAAAAGATCTAGGACAAAATAGATAAAGATAAAACCTGGCAATAGCTTACAATGGAACAAAGAAACTGAAAGCTTGATTTTGCTGCTCAAGAGCAAACTATTTGAATTAATGCAATCAAAGAAGGAACTGGGGGGAAAATCAAATGATACAAAATATATTGTACAAAGAAGCAGAAGAAACAGATCATATGTTTAGTTCATGCAAGAGGATCACACAAACTGGTTACAAATGATATAACATAGCTTCCAAAATGATTCACTGAATATCTGTAAAAATAATCCTGTGCTAGAACTGTAATGAAAAAGTGGTGGAATATATAATTGAAAAATGAGTAGGTTAAAATATTGTGGGATTTCCAAATACAGACTGATAGAAGTATATATGATTGAACAGAAGAAAGTGTGGATAATTGAGATGCAATACCAGAAAATCAAAATTGAAAGATTATGGCATAAACCAGACGTGGTGGTCCCAGTGTTGACTGGCACACTTGTGTGTCATACTAAAAAAATATTGGACTGTCTGTGCATTGCAATCTGTGCACTGACAACATTTCCAATTGTCAATTACAAAAGGCCACACTGCTTGGATCCATACATATAGTACAATACCTTAAAACATCCTAGGTTCTTGGGAAGAGCTCAAAGGCCAACATGGCTAAATAACTGGCAGCTGTGATTTCACTTTGTTGTGTATATAACAATAAGGCATTCAACTCCGGTCATATGATTGGATAATCAAGTGCCCAGAAATAACAGGAGTTAGTAGAAACATCAGGAACTTTGTGCAAAGGTCAATGACACAATGGGAGACAGAGTTGCTGGTTAATGGCAGTAAACTGGGAGAGATTAATATCAAAAGAGGAATCTTTCCAGAAGACTCATTATCACCACTACTGTTTGTCCTCTGTCAACAATCCTGAATGAGTCAGGTCATTGTTATCAAACATCAAAAACATTTGCCAGGCTACTGTACCTCCTTTTCATGGACGCTGAAGCTATGTGGAAAAACATCACCTGAAATAGAAACCCTGCTTAACACTGTCCATATATAAAAGCAAAATATTGCAATGGAATTTGTACTGGTCAAATATACCAACAGGGGAAAAAGACTGAAAATTGAATGAATCAAGGTGCCCTGTGGAAATAACATCAATAGTCTGGATGAAGAAAATCACTACAAATCCCTCAATATCCTTCAAGCTGACAACTTCCAAGCTTAGAAGTGAATACATTATGAAAGTAAAGAAGAACTAAAAGTCCAAACTAAATGGAAGAAATACACTGGCAACTAACACCTGGGCAATTCCAGCCATTAAATATGCATCTGGAATAATGGACTGGACTCAAACAGAACTAAAAGTCCTGAATAGGAAAACCAGAAAAACAATGTGACAATGAATCATGCCCTTTATCCACACAGCAATGTTGATAGAGTCTACTTACCAAGGCAAATAGTTGCATGGGCATGGGCATGGAATGCTGCTAGTGTACCAAACAATTAAAGAAGAAAAAATGGCATTGGAAAAAATATTTGAAGGGCACTTAAGAAGATGCACTGAAGCTAGAAGACAGCAACAGACAGCAAATGCTGCCTGTGCAAATAAACTGAAGGCAGTCCTAACTAGTGGACCACTTAATTAGTCTGTGCAAGCTTCTTGCAGTAGCTATCTACAAACGATGGCATGACAAAGGAGCAACAATGGTGCATTGGAATTTTTGCAAGAAATACCATTTACTTGCAAGTAAGAACTGTTGAGAACACAAAGTAAGTAATAAAAAATGAAGATGCTAAAGTGCTCTGGGACTTTAGAATTCAAACAGACAGGAACCTGCCACACAACACTGCAAACTTAACAACTGTCAATAAGAAAGACCAAAAAAAAAGTCTGGATAAATGGATGTGGCAGTACCAGGAGACAGCAAAAAAGAGAAGAGAAAGAACTGGCGATAAATCACAAAATACAAAGACTTAGAAATAGTAATAGAATGACTGTGGCAAAAGAGAGTAAAGGTAATACCAATAGTATTAGAAGCCTTGTATGCAATCCCAAAACAACTAGAGCACCACTTGAAAATCATCAGCATTGACAAAATCACCATCTGTCAATTGCAAAAGGTAGCTTTACTTGGAACATTATGCAATAATACCTTTTGATACAATCAAACAACAACATCTGCCTAACCCAGGTTTTGGGAATGACTAGACTGCTGCATAAAAATGCCAAATCCAGGCTAAACATCTGGATGACTGTGTGACCAACTTTAATATAGGTTGTGCAGTCCTGTGTCTTTAAAGGGAAAAGGTACTTTGTAATATTCATGCAGCAGCTGTTGCAACTCAAACTAAATGCATAGTTTCCCAGGATCACATGGAACTACGTAATCTGAGGAAAACACACTGCTGTTTTAAAGAATTGCAGACCCTTGTTATGGGAATGCTCTCCTAAGGATTTGTTGCAACTTTTTCCCTTTGAATCTGAAGGGCTGCCACTACTAAATGCCAACACTGAAAAAAGACATTAAAACAGAAGGGGACGGGGAAGAAAAAAGGGAACAATCATAGTGGCATCATTGGAAAATAGAAAGCAGTTTCCTACTTCAATCATTTGTTATCTTAGTTCAGAAGTCTACCCTGACAGACATCAGTTCTCCAAAATATTAGTCTTTTGTAGAAAAGCCAAGAATTAAAACTGAGATCTCCTGCTAGCTCATACATACTTAACACAGACCTAATATATGGCTGATATGAGGCTCTGACAATCTCAGTGTGGACTTGAAAGCTAATTAGTTTCTGAAAATATTCCATCTTTAACAATGTGGAGCTGTGTCTCCTACGAAACACAGAAATTGTGGCCAGAAAAGTGTTTGTGCAATTACATTTTGTTTTCCAGCTGCAAATATTTCTCCAATAGGAGATCACTCATGTTCTGTCAATTTGCCTCTGGATTACTGCAATGTATTCTACATAGAGCTCAGCTTGGAAGTTCATTCATAAGCTTCATTAGTTCAGCATGCAGCCAGCCCAAGTAGTTATGGATTTGCCCATGTTGGACTACTGCTACAAAATAAAAATGATTGGTAATCATCTTCAAATGTATATACTTAAATACTTGCAAGATTCTGTTAATGTAACCTTACAAGAGAGGCAGGACTAGCATTCATTTGTCCTACTTCTATTCTGGATTATCTTGAAGAGCTAACAGTTTTGCAAATGTGAAAGTACCCTTTTATTCATATATTGATGCTAGGACTATATGTTGTTGCCAATCTGAGATAAGTCATTTGAGAACGCAATTCACTACACTATAAAGAATTTCTCATAATAAGCATGGGCGGGGCTAGTGTGAAAAGAATCCTGGTATGTCTCTTTAATAATTTTTATACAATTGAATAAACTCAGCCTTATTGGTAATACACAATGAGGGTCCCCACTCTGGAATGATTAACTTCCTAAAGCTGTGACACAACCACCGTTAGAGCCTTTGAGAGGCATATTAAACTAATTCTCTTGGAAGCTCATGTATCCTACCCCTGGCTGTTGAAAGTTGCATGACTGCAACCATCAAAAGGCAAATAACAAGTAAAATAGAAGTAAAAAGGATTTACAAATATCTGATATAAAGGATATATTTGTTTGATGCACCCTGTCGGCCCAAATATGGGGGGGGGGAATCTTTTGCCTGTATTAGCTCAATCTAGAGCCATCCACAGGCAGCAATTGCTACTGCGACATCATTTGTGTTTCCTAAATTTAGGAAACACACACACACACACA